TAGGCTTTATCCATTACGTAATCTCGTTGCCATGTTGGAGTAACGGATACTCTTCCTGTACGTCTTGGCCTCTCCGCTGCTGGTTGTGTATCATTAGATTTCTTGAAAGAATTTGAATTTCAAGGATTTGAAATCTTTGGTGTGTTTGGTTTATAGGATTTAGAATGAAGTTGAATTACATCCTTTATAAAAATAAATTATATATTTTTTAAAACATTATTACTAGAAAATCTTATAAAATTCTTTGAAATACCAACTACCCCACAGGATTTCCAAATCTCATGTTTGTGAGATTTCATTGAAATCTTGGGATTTTAAATTCAAGTATTCTTTCAAATCAAACATAAGATTGGAATGAAAGTCAACTTCAAATCCCTTCAAATTCTATCAAATCCCGCAAACCAAACAGAACCTACGTGGAGCATTGTTAATACAAGACAAAGATTACATATACGATCGAAGATCACAAAAGCGGGCTTGATTAGTATTACGAGATTATTACAAGTGCAAATGCCAAAATAAATTAGCGTATGGCGTCCAATGAGCACACAAAGGCTCCGTCCACTCTGTTTGGCCCTTGGATTAAAGCCGGCGATATCAAAATTTGCCACATTATGGAATAACTCTTGCCAGAAATGATACGGTAGTGATTTTAGATTCTCTTAGAATTGGATTCACAGTCTCTGTTCTTGTTGTTGGTTCACAAATCCTCGAATGTTGACATCAATTATAGAAACGAGTGTTGTAGCTCAATTTGAATAACCATACCTTTTGAACCATATCCAAAAAATTGGGACCGCATAAAAAAGGCTTTGGTTTGCGATCGGACCCAAAATCCATTGTTTAGGGTTCATTTTCAACCTTCTCAAATTTACAATTTATTGTATTTTGTTGGTCAAAACAACATTCTATTTGTAATTAAATGAATATTTTAATAAATTGTCATCTTCAAAAATGTACTAATCTTTTGTTTTAGAAATTTTAAATTTTTATTTTTTTTATTTTAAAGAATCAATTAGAAATATTCGGGTTTAGGGGTGAACATGGTATGGTATCATGTTTTTTTTTTCAAATACCATGTATCAACCGATTATAAGTGGTATACAAATTTTTATATCATGTACCAGCCAACTAACTATATTTGATACCAACTAAATCGACGCCAATTTTTTTTTTTTTTGATACATGTTGGTATGGTTTTGTACCAACTACAAGTTGAAATACAAATGTATTTATATTAACACTTGTACCAACTAGATTTGGATATCTTAAAACCATCTGAGTATCCAAATAACATGTTGATAGATATAGTACCACTTATCACTATATATATATATATATATATATATATATATATAAAAGTATTCAAATAATTTTCATATAATACAACCATTCATAATTAATAATCTAATAGAAATAGTCAATGAGAAGCGACGATAGACCGTGGTGGATGAGTTACTAAGGTTGCTAGGTTTGGAGAATAAGTTCAATCAAGTTCTATCTATTCATCTGTATCATAATCTAGAAAAAAAAAATGAAAATGAGAACATTGAAGAAAAAAAATCAAAATATGTTATATTATTTTAATTATTAAATAATTTGTCGGTACAGTATGGTATTATCGTGTATCAATCAAGTTTAGATGATTAGTACGATACTACTAACTAATTAAATTGATACGTTGGTATAAAAATTGATTGGTTTGTCATGATACCGACAAATTCTTACTAGTGTGGTCGTGGACTAGCTTGATGAAACCGATCAAGTGAACCACGTGAAATCCTGTATTTATATCGTCGTCGTGTTTGTGTGAGTGATCTTGAGCATCATTTCCCAACAGATCCATCATTTTGTAAGAAACTATCAACAAGACGTGAGATGTCTAATAATGAAGATCGGTCTAATAGTTTTGGATGAAAGTCAAAAAAAACATGTCCCTCTCTCCCTTTGTATTACTTTCATTATTTGGGATTGAGTATTGATTGTTGTGGTAGATGATGTCATTACTAGTCATTACGAACTATTTCCGCCTAATCTTAATATTGGACATATTTCGAATTATTCAAGTTTTGCAAACCCCTAATCAGTGATCAATCGACAACAAAATCACCAATTAGACTCGGATGAGAAGCACGCACAATGAGCAATGATCACTCCACTATGTGATCAATTGATTTTTTGCCAAGTGACCGTGCACGGTTCACCTCGTGGAGTCGTGGTTGAAGGATGGTAGGTTGGGCAATAGGTCAAGTGGTCGACTGCTAGTGTGTGTAACATTGAGAGATTGAAAGTGATGCGAGGGCCAAGGACGAAAGGGAAGCGTGACTTATGATATTGAAGTGTCGTTTCAGCAATCGAGGCAGTCCATACTCGATAGAGAAAGTCGCCGGCTAATTTTTCTTTTTAAAAAAATTAGAAATTGAACCTACTATAGAGTTAAAGAACTTTGAGTTGTGCTGGCCCCATCTCGCCCACTAGCTGGGCCGACTCTACTAATCATACTTCTTTTTTCAAGAGTGTAACAAGGACGTTACGTGGAAGGCAACTTTATCTGTCTCTCTCTATATGTATATCTATTTTTTATATAACATTTTAAAGTATTTCTCAATCATTAAATTATGGTTTTATATCAAAGATTGAGATTAAGGTAGTAATTTAATTACCCAACTCTAGGGGTAGCTTTGGTAGAATATGAAGATATAATGGTCACGTTTAAAATGTTGGGGTTTTGTTGCTAGCTACCTAACATGTAGCTACATATTAATTCATATGTAGATATTTCGATAGCTAATTAATTAAAAGAAGTCAATAATTGTGTAGTGGGACCACAAGACAAAAAGACGAAAGACCTTTATGCCTTATGGGAAAAGTATCCCAAAAAGAAATTTTAATCTTAAATTTTAGTGTGGGGAAAAAGAGATATTAACAAAGACACAGACATGGACATGGTCATGGTCATGGTCATGGTGGGGAACAAAGTGCTTACCACGTTCAGATACTAAGTAACCGTTTACTTAAATCCTTACATGTAAGCGTTTGCTAATTGGAGTCAATTTAAGTGTAAACGTTTGTTAATTTCAGATATTTGTTAATTTGCATGGTTTAAAATAAAGAAATGTGAGGTACAAATACATAAACAAGACTTAAAAAGTGCAAAAAGTGTATATATATATATATATATGTATGTATAAAATAAATTAAAGATTTTGGACATATTTCTAGTATCTTTGTGAAACGTCGACATAGGTGAGTCGGACGAAGGTATTCATTCTCATCGGAACACATGAGTCCAAAAGAATCCATGGATTGGCGAGCCAACCAATGGGAAAACAAATTTAAGGATGGACTTTATAAATTCAACCAATCAAACACCAGATAAGGCATGGCCATGGGACCCTCTCCACCCCAATAACCCATGCAACTAACCAAGACTCGTTATAAAGTATCACCAGATGAACCACCAAAAATAGTGCAGTGGGTCACACCCTGAAAACATTATAATTCTTCGCACATCCAAATTTTTCTGCTTAATTTGCAAGTCATCTGATGGTCTCGTCCGAGAAGAAGCTGGCAAATGCTATGGGAGGCAAGACGGCAAGAGCCTGTGATAATTGCATAAGAAAGCGTGCTCGATGGTATTGTGCTGCTGATGATGTTTTCTTATGCCAATTTTGTGATGCTTTGGTTCACTCAGCGAATCCATTGGCTCGTGGTCATGAAAGGGTTCGTCTGAAATTAGCTTCTGTAAAGCTATCTTCCATGGAGATTCTACCACCAACATGGTACCAAGGTTTCACAAAGAAATCCCGAAGCCCTCGTGGCAAAAACAGCAACAAATATGGATCTCATCGAATACCAAATTCCAACGAAACTCGTTTGAGCTTCAATTCGATTCACTTAGTCCCAGAGATTGGAAGTGATGAGTTGATCAATGCCGTAAATTCCGACGACCAACTTCCCTATCAAGTCCCCGTCTCTGACCCCTTTTCAGACGTGCTTTGTTTTTCTGGGGACTTCAACGAGATGCTGGTGCCTATTCAAGCTGACACTATAACTCCTTCAGGCACAAAGCATGATGAATCTGAAGTTCCATTCGATATGAATAGTTTGAACGGATTAGTACTTCCATCAGATTTGGAGCTAGCCGAGTTTGCAGCTGATGTGGAGAGCTTATTAGGAAAGAGTCTTGATGAAGAATCATTCAATATTGAAGCACTAGAAATGGTAGATTGTAGATTAAATGTTGATTCAGAGAGAGTGAAGGTTGAAGAAGATCAGTTGCAGTGGGAAGCAGCTGAGATTGAGATGATGAAAGAGCCATTCCAGTTGAGTTTTGATTATGATTCACCAGTAACATGGGAGGAGGAAGATGATGAGAAGGTGGCAGAAAATAGAATGGGCATGGTGGTGCAAAAGGAGGATGAAAAATGTGTAGTTGGTGATGATGGTAATGTGAATATTGTTGATGATACAGTTAGTAAGAACAGTAGGAAAATGTTAAAACTAGATTATGAAGGAATCATTGCTGCTTGGGATGATCAGAGATCTCCATGGGCCACCGGTGACCGGCCTGAATTGGACCCCAATGATTGTTGGCCCGACTGCATGGTAACTCTACTTGACTGCACTTCATTACTTTTTCTCTCCATTACTAATTTGTACACACATGCAAGGATTTTATATATAATATGAATTCATGTATATATATATAGTAAACTTACAATGAATAAAAATGCAGCATTCTGATGATTGTGGAGATATCGGGATAATGATGATGATGGGGAAGCTGACAAGGTTAGATGGAGGGAGAGAAGCGAGGGTGTCAAGATATAGAGAAAAGAGACGAACAAGGTTGTTTTCGAAGAAAATAAGGTACGAGGTGAGGAAACTGAATGCAGAAAAGAGACCTAGAATGAAAGGAAGATTTGTGAAGAGGGCAAGTTTTGCAGCTGCTACTGCTTCTGGATTTCCATTGCTTAGTACATAGAATCTGTGTACGTAATTAATTAGGCCATTCTAATTAAGAATCATTTAATATATATTACCAAAATTAAGTTCAATAATGAGTTGAAGAACGCAATGCTATTCTTGCAGTTTGTGTTGAGTACTCGAGTTGTTGTATCATATCGATTTGTGCTCTCTCTTGGCATTGATATATGTTGGGGAATTTGGTTTTGTGGTTTGTCTGATAACTTGGATAATCTTTTGGATTGTGAATGCAATCACTTTCAATCCTATATTTCGATCTTATAAATGTCTTAGGTTAATACGAAATTAGTGTTGGGATAATCTAGAGGCTCTAAGCTCAAAGCTAAGAGGGCTAGGAGGCTCTGAGCTTAAACCTCAGAGGACATAGTGGCTCCGAGCTTTGTCTAAGCCAAGGCTTAGAAGTTAGAAGCTGTGAACCCAGAAGCTCCAAGTTCAAAGGCTCCCATGGTCAACTACTCTAAGAAGGTTTTTAACCTTCTTAAATTCGTGCAGATCGTTCCGGAACTTATAACTCAAAAGTAGATCTCTTTATAAAAACTGTAGAGGTTTCGGGGTAACCCCTTTGACTCTTGTCTTATGACGATCTAAGGTGATAAAGACAATATTTCTGAGTGTACATTCCACATCTTCTAACTCACATTCTTTGCCTTTATCACCTAATAGATCTCAACTAAATAACAAATACACCAAATGATTGATGACGCTAAAATCACTACTAACTAGTTTGCAATATGTTGAACTTAAAGTCACGGGAGTTTTGAAACACAATTAAAGAATAATAACCCAAATAATTAATTGCATGATCAGTCATCCAGATAGATAGCTGATGGGATCAATGAACATAATTAAGGGCAAGAAATACTTTCAACTTACCGGAAACGTTTATTATTAATAGGGGGTCCCAGTTTGTGAAATTAAGGGACCGTTTTATCTAAACGTTTACCCGGTAAATTAATATGACCGATTAATTACTATTCATGGCTGGCAAATTTTTGTGTGGAGTGAATTTTGGTGTTTTATTTTTATCTAAACGCTTTCCCGATAAATAGACTCGTGATTTGTGTTAATGGCCCCTACTGAAAGGTCAGTTTTTGGATCTTCAATATAATGCAAGAAATGGTGCCAATTCTCATTCCACCTTTTAGCAATGGAAGGAGACTTGATATGGTCCCAAATAAGGTCTTTTTGAATAAGTCTTTTCGTGTCTCAATCCAAGTTTTCTTCTTTTCATTTCTATACCCCAACTCTATTATTTTTAATTGAAAAGCAACCTCATCATCATTTCAGCTCTGAATTGCATCCTACTTCTACTTAAATGATTTCTGACTCTAACTACTTCTGTAATATACATTTAGAGAGTACTCGTCTTTACGAAACGAAAGAGGAAAAGAAAAATCCGCTTGTTCTCAACTTCTTTTAGGAGTAAAGGAAATGGAAGAAAAAATAATGTCGAATTTTCTATAAAAAATTTCCTTCAAACAACTCTTACTACTTACCACCATATCACTATTGTCGTCATGATCACAATTGCCACCTCATCCTCACTACAAACAAAGATGAAGATTTCAATTCTTTTGAATAATTCCATTCCAGCTCCATAGAATCAAACGCGTGGCTAAATTTCATTTCAATTCCTTAAAAGTCAAATTCTTTGATGTATTTCAATTCCATTAAATTTCATTTTGCAAATCAAACGCACCGTAAGTTTATTATCTTTAACTGTAGTTATCTTTGTATATCTAAACACAAGTGTCTTTGCCGTTTACCTGTAATTAATATTGAACTTTTCTAGCATACATTGTTAATTAAATTGGGCTTCAGAGCTTTTTTAAGTCGTTAAATAATCGATGAATCATTGAAAGTTAAACCCAACTTTTGGTATTGATTCAACTTCAAAAAGCAAACAAATTAACATATGTCGACCAATGAGTTTGGATGACATAGCAATCTACAAAGACTTGGATAATAATCTAGATCACTAGATCTAGATTTAGATCGTGTATGAAAATTTTGGGAAATTTCATCGCTATCTTAGAAATTCATTTTCTCAAATAGCCAAAGTTTACAATAAAACTTCATGTAGAATAAGATTTTATACATAAAGTTTATTTTTAGGTAAAAATAGAAAAATAAATTAAAAAGAGTTTATGCAAAAAAAATCACAAAAAAAGATTTTCTGCATAAAGTTTATTTTCAAGTAAAAAAAATAAGTTAAAAAAAGAAGTTTACGCAAAAACTTTGTGCAGAAAATAGATTTTCTGCTTAAAATCCCATTTTTGCATAAAGTTTCATTTTTAATTTTTTTAGCATAAAGTTAAAAAAGGCTTTTTGTAAAGTTTGGCTATTTTAAAAAAAGACTTTATAAAATTACTAAAAAGTAAAAATCACTTTATAAAATGACTATTATTTAAATTTCCCTATATTTTTTCTAAAAATATATTATTTTGACCCTTTAGAGTTTAGAGTAAAAATGCTCAATGTAGGGCCTGAATGATGCAAACCCCAACTTCGGGGTCTGAAATTAGGCCTTACTCGAGGCTAGTTTGGGCTAAGTTGGACTTTTCCAAACTTGGACCAAGCCTTGTAACTTTTTAAAGTTTAAGAAATTAACTTCTAAAAAATAAATTTACTACGAGCGTGTAACCTTATACAAACATTAAACATGCAAATAATTTCATTAACCTTTAAGTTTATGCACATACTTTGACACTAAAATATTTACACATCTTAATATGTAAAAGTGAAAACCTTCACATATCTAATTGGATCTAGTCATATCCCGGTACATTTAGTATCCAGATAGGAGAAGACAATTTTTTAACATTTGGACAAAACAGTAAAAAATAGAATTAAACATGATATAACTGGACATAACGGATTTAATAAAATGACTATTTACCCGTAATGAGTTTAGCAAAACATTAAATTCATGAATATTGCTTGAAAATGTGACTTTAACAAAGCGTTGGTTAAATTCATGTGGATTCTCACCCATATGCATGCCAATGTAAATTCGAATGCTTAATTCTCATGTGCATCAACCCTACGTAGCATCTTTCTTTCACATAAATGAAATAGGTGTTTTATTTATTTATCAACTTTAGAATACCAATTCATTTTTTATTAGTGTCATCATTGTGTATTATACGGTAACGATACAGTTTTTAAGTATATTGGATTTAGTTAAGAAACGTAAATCAGTTTATAATTAGTAGATACAATGAATATATTTTTTAAGTAGTAAGTTTGCATATATTGATAATTATTTGTTGTTACAAAGAGTTTGAGATGCATCGTTAACAAAATAAGTTTGAGATACGTTGATAATAATTTTGTTATAATGTTATTTAGGACTTAAACCAATATCCATATCACTATTAATGTTACAAAGAGTTTAGAGATCTTTTTCTTCCAAAAAAAGTCTTACAAGATTAGAGTTGACTGAAAGAATCATCTTCTTTTGTCAATATATCATCACATCTTCTTACTAATTTGGGATAACTAAAACTCACCACATTTCAAGATTTAATAATTATTTCATTCTGCTGATATCATCTCGTTACTTATGATTGTTATTTTAATATAAAATAAAATTTGAAAATGGTATTTTTTTTTATCTTGAATAAAATTTTAATTTTATTAAATTATCATGTATATATATACACACACACACACACATATATATATAGAGAGAGAGAGAGAGAGGCGTGCTTATTTAAGAATTTTAAATATTTTGAGACATGTTTAGCCAACTATTTATGATAGAGATAAAGAGAGGGAGATGAAGGGGTGGAGAGGAATGCATATTATGAGGAAGGTGGACAGCCGAAAGAAATTGAGAGATGTAGAATTACCAAAAAGGCTACATACGATAGAACAACTATTCATCATACTTGGGGATACAAAAGTCTTTTAACAAATTAAACATTTTATAAAACCAAAAAATTCAAAAAATGCCTATGGGAAATCATATTGTATGAACGTGTCACCATTGATCATGGTTGTTCCTTTTATATGTATAAGATATAGCATGGATGAATAGCGTCAATGCAGTGTAAAGCAAATAATTTGAAGTTAAATACTGATACATGACATAAAAACAAAACTGATAAAAAGCATGGAAGCAACCATGACCAAACACGAACATATAAGCTATGGAAGAATTTATTGAACTTTAAAGGACTAATAATGAAATGATTACAAATTGAGCGAAAGAAAAAAACCAGATATAACTTTAACCATCATAAAATTACATTTTGCTCTCAAGTAAGGTTTGTACTAAGACAAATTACTCCGAAACGGAGATTTTAAGCATAAGGACAGGTATCGTTGTAGCTTGTCTCTACAACCAATGGTAGAGATTGAGAGACATAGAGATATGAGGAATGGTGGAAAGCTAGACCTACCAATGTTAATTGAAAATGTTGGTGTTAAGTCTATAAATAAATTGTTGTATGCAAAATTACAAAAATAGCCTAAGGGGCTGTTTGTTTGCCTCTTAATGGTGACATTAAGAGGGAGCCTCTTAATCGGTAAAAGGCAGGGGCTGTTTGGCAAAAGAAATTGAACCTCTTAATGGTGACAATTACCTCTTAACGATTTTGCATCTAAGGGGTTGCCTAATGGTTCAGAGCCTTAACTTTCTAGGATTACCCTTCACCCATCTCCTTCATCATCGTTCCTTCTCCAGCAACCTCTTTGTCGAAAGCACCAGTTCTAGCATCATCATCCAGCAACCTCTTTGTCGTCACCCCTAACCCCAACCTCACACTTCCACCATTAATGGCATCTTCCTCCTCAATCCATTTCCCATAACCCAAAAGCCATGCCCTCTTCTTGGTTTTCTCTCTCCCTTCCTAATCCCTTCAACTTTAATCTGTGACATGATAAATTGTCCTCGGATTAACTCAAGTAAAAGTTTGATACTCAGACTTTGTATCAGGCGGTAAAATCATTGATAATCCGCCACCTATGATTGAAGTTCTAACTCAACAAAACCAGAACATGGAGTATTAACAGGAGGAATGAATGTTAGTTTCATACTTGATGAACGGCGTCGGCACCTGTTGAAGGAAAGCAGCGCCTGCCGGAAGAGAACGTCGATCGGAGCGGAAAGAAAGCAGCGCCTGCCGGAAGAGAACGTCGATCGGAGCGGAAAGAAAGCAGCGCCTGTCGGGAGGCAGCGA